CTTGGCTCGCCGCCGGAGGAGCCCGGCGAGAGGATAGGACCGCCGCCCAGGAAGAACTCTGGCCCGCACGTGATCAAATGGGGCGGCGGAGGAGGTGGAGGGAGTGGCGGAGGCAGTGGATCGGCACAGGGACCGGCAGCCGGGGGACAGGCGAGGAGGAAGCAGGCTCCGCAGCAGAAGGAACCCTCGGAACCCTCGACCCCGACGACCGCTTCTAGACAGGTACGTGGACCTTTTTCATTCTGTTGGCTCTGTTGCATTTTCGTTTTTTTTTTTTTCGTAATTTCTCTACGCTGGTTCCGTACAGTCTTCTATTGTAGTTATACGAATATAACTACAAGTTAATATATAGGTAAACGCTACGATAGATACAATGGTGTACAGACATATTCTTTTAGTCAAGCGTGTATTTCCGTTCAGAAATTTGGAGCATGTTAAGATTTCCTCGAGCAAATTTTATTTATTTGTGCGATTATAATAATATAAAATAATATAACGGAAATAAGTAGGTATAGTTACGATTCTATCTCAATATTAATTACCAAAAATGATCGAATATTTTAGCAATCGTAAGAAATTTACTGTCGTTTGATTAATTATTAGAATGTTTATACATCTGTGAGAATTATTAAAAATATCCAAATATACAAAATACATTCGACGAATAGATGTAGAAAAAACTTTTAAGATTATATTTATGAAAATATAAATTTAAACATTCGCCGCGATTGATCGACTTGAAACTATTCAAATGAAACGATAGTTTCACAATCTTACACGTGAACGCATACAATTTTACATCGGCGACATTACCGAGCATCAAAGTGTACATACAGCTTGAGCTGTTCCTTTAACCTTGCCGTTCTCCAAGATGGCGGAATTAATCCACAGCGTCGATGCGGTCCGAAAGATTGATGCACCTCGACCAGACGTGTGATCGTTCGCTCGTGTCTAATCAAATACTTTGGTTCAGGTGTCGGGGATGTAGGTTAAATTTAATCAACTACCCCCTTCGAGCCGCGAACTACTACTACTACTAATACTACTACTATCTCCGACGAGCCAAAGACCCGTGGCAATCCGAAGAAACCCAATTCCGATCAATGGCAACGACTTCGCTGCACAGACGACAATTCCACCGCGGAGCGAACCGTTTCAGCCGGTGTTTATTAACTCTGTCGAGACTCCCTCCGACGAGGAAGCATCGAGCAACGTTCGCCACGGTCGTTCTCGATGAGAATCCTTATAAAACGAACGCTGATTCGAATCGTAAATCTTGTTTCGCTTTGTCGACGTGTGGATACGCACTTTGATGTAGATGAATCGGGGACACGATACGTTTAAACATTCAGGGATGACGTTCCACGTTCGTTGCCACAATCTTGTCGATCATTTGGAATTTTTAATGTTTTTCGTAGTTGTGTGTTTAGATAACTGTTGATTTCGTTTTTGATACGTAATTATGGGATTTAGTATTGTGTTGCATTCAAAATAAGTTTACGGTGCTTAATAGATGTTGATTTTGAAGGATTGAGGAAATGCTGGTTAGACAGAGATTTATTTGTTTTTAGCTATTGAAAGTTTTGAAAGGCTTTTGATATTAATTCCAAAAGAGAGGACTTACTTTCGAATTCATAAATTGTATAATATTGAACTAAATTAATTAATTAATTATTTTACTGTAGTATACAAGTTTAAGTTAAATTGATTTTCAGACATAAAGTAAATTCTGAGTCGATTCTTACGGAAACGAATGGAAGAATGAACTTATTTATTTAAAAGTCAGATAGAAAATGAATGTTTGAACATCATAGATTCACTGAAAAATACAGTAGAGACTTTCACAGGAGAAACATTAGGGGGAAGATGTGCTACAAGTATAATGAAGATCAAAAGCAAAAGAATTAAACATAGTAACGAATCCGAATAAGTTCGCTTTAAATGCAAGAATCATATATCAAAAGAATGGGACTATTTTACATGTCATTTCATTTTACAAACACTTGTATCGTACATTTTTGTCAAAGAACAATTTACTTACAAAATATCACATCATCACGCACAGCTCATCAACATTCGTTAACAATATTATTTTCAATAATACGCCAGAGGAGGCGTAGTTTATAGTAAACGAAACGTGATTATAAATAGAGCTAGGAGTTCCAGCTCAAAAGTTCCAGAGTTCAGACACGTTCTCTGTTCCACAAACGTGTAAAAATCCGCTCTAATTACGCTCGATTGTAACTTGTAACTGGCGCTCGAGGGCAGAGTTTCCCATTTCTGGAACGAGCGGTGCCACGGACAACGGGTGATGTGACTCCAACACATTTTTTTCTCCCTCCCTCCGCGAAAGGTTGTTTCGACGATGTTGTCCCGTTGCAAATTACACGATTGTAACCCATTGCACAAACGAGAAAGAGAGAGAGAGAG